GTGTGCTCTCTTTACTTCAGAAGTGTGTGTATGTGTGCCGGGACAGGCCACATGCGTGTGCTCTCTTTACTTCAGAAGTGTGTGTATGTGTGCCAGGACAGGCCACATGCGTGTGCTCTCTTTACTTGCTTCCCATGTTACTCATATGCTGTCCATAAACTTGCTCTGCTTTATATATGAACAGATTTGAGCAGTCCAAACTATGTTATATTTGTAGAGGAGAGGGTTATGAAAATGCAGACTATTTATACTGTGAACAAAACAGAAAACGATGCATGAAAGTTCTAATAAAAAAAAATCTGGAAATTTGGATAAGCCTGGTGCGTGAATCTGGAAACTTGTATCCTTATCCACATCTCAATGGCTCCCGAGGGCATTCTACCCAGACAAAGCTGTTGTCAAACTTACTTTTCACTGTCTCACCCCAACTTCAGGTGGATATTCTACTAAAATCTCCAGGGTGATGAAAGAGTTTCCCAAAGTAACATCCTCATTTCATCCATTCTTATCTCTTTCCTGTTTTAGGCCTTCAAGAGACTGGCCCAACTCATAAAAGAGTCCACATGAAGAAATCAAGCTAAGCGTTATACTCATGATTTTTATGTAAGTTATTCCCGTACTTTGCTGAAGAAATGGTTGTTGCGCTTTGACTGACAGAGTGGATCCAGTTCATGAAAAAACACATGTTGCCTCTGTGTGTCTGCAGCAATTTAACTGAACAACTTTAGAGTGCCTCTCAGTCCACTGTATTGCCAAAGTATTTTTCTGATCTACTTTTGCCTTTTGATTAATTTTCAACTCACAAAAGATTAAATTTTATTGTAAAGAACGAAATAGCTGCTTTACAATGTCCAATAAATTTTTTCTTGAAATTAACATAGTGGGCTGAATTATTTTCAAATTGCAAGGAAATCAGTGAAAATGGTACACAGTGTGCAGTTTTTTCTACTCTGAGAAAATTTCAGGAACATTTATTGCAAAAAATTGTTATAATTTGACAATTATAAATTACTTTGTAATTTGTGGTGCCAAAAAAAAATAACCTCTTTAAAATTAAAATTCTGAAACTAAACCTACCAAAAGGAATCATACATGTTAATTCCAAGGAAGAAAGAGGAAATTGTGGTCTTAGAAAACTTTACTTATATTTTCATGGTGCTCCATAATTCACAAAGGCACAATTTGTAGATGTTGTATTAGCTGATGTTTCCTTCATCCTCTGAGGTATTACATTGATTACTTCTCTAGCTGGTGGTGAGACCTGCAAGAATGGAGTGGATAAGTGAAGTGGACTAAAGTCTCATGCAATAGCCAACTATTCAGACAATTTCCACTCCGAGGGTTAAGAGGAGTCACCTGAGCAGAGTGTACAATCATGAGGGGCCCGTATGACAGGCAAAACGTACTGTACATGGCAAAAAAAAAAAAAAAAAAAAATTCCATATAGGCATATAAACAAATAACAATAGCCAGTTGTAATGAATAATATAAAATAAACTCATTCCTAACTGCTACACCTGGGAGATGCACAAAAGCATGATCTAAGAACAATTGTGTGTTTTTTAGGAAACTAAGGTCACAAGACCCTTGTCTTATTTTCTTGGCTTTTGTTATAAGCACTCAGAATTCTCTTCACATGACTCCGTTCTTGAACCAGGTTCTGACATCTTTCCCTTTTTCATTTTTTAGTAGTAGGATATCCAGAGTGGTTTTGATTTGAGATGTAGTAGATAAATCTAACTGTTATTTGATGCATGAGTATCCCATAAGCAAGCAAATTATAAATGTAATGAATAATATTAGGATAGTGAAAGCATTGTGTGTAATACTCCGCCACCAAGAACATGGATCCAAATTATGTCCAGCACTTTTGATTACATTATTATATTGATCAGAAAGATCTAGAGAATAACTTGAAAAGAGACTTACATGATTAGTAGTTCTGGGCTCTTGTAGAACATAAGCCCATATTTCCCTGTTAATGTGAACACAAATGTTATGATGCACTATGCAAAAGGGAAGTGATTCAAATTCCAAGGAAACTTAAATGTAGTCCCTTCTTTGGATGAATGAATGAGTCTATTACAGTCCCAAGGCCCAGTCATAAACACAGAGTCATCAGGAAAGATAACAAGAGTTGAATCCATCCAATCTCCAAGTTGAAGCAAAGAGGATGAGGAACATGAGACCAATACACATATTCAGAGGCTCTCACTGGAGATGCACAGGTCAAAGTCACTTCAGGAGAAGATTCTCAGGGCTCTGTGTGTTTTGTAGAACGACTTCTCATTTGGTGCTTAGAGCTTTAACGTGGCCCCAGGAGGGCAGACTTGACTTCTGATGATATGGTTCATATCTCCTTTGCCCTTTATCTGGAGTTTTCTTTCTGATGACTTCCACTATCTCCTTGCCCTTCCACCATAGCCCTTGAAAGCCCAGGGCTGGAGGAGCCAAGCAGGAATCCATATTGTTTTGGTACATCCATCTGCAATGACAGACGCATACCCCTTGCCAGTTTTCTTCTGGGGAAGTGAAAATCGGGTAGGTTAATGCATCAGATTGCTTATTTCCTACTGCAATAAAACCAGGGAGGTTAGAGTGTGCATAGGTATGAGAAATAAACAAAGGACATGTGTGGATTTTAGCCAGATGTTATATTTAAGGGTTTATGAATTAACAGTACTAGATGAATCAAAACAGTTAGTTCCACCCAGTGAGCTGAGGAAAAAAGTATTAATAGAGTGTTGAATATCTGGACCATGAATCCCTTAGATGACCCATCCTGTTGTACTATAATACCTGCAGGAGACAGTTTGGTGGGTAAATTAACTAAGTTTAAAGTCAGGGAAATAGCCACACAACACACAAATGCTTCTTTTGGTCTGCATTCAAATAGCTGTAGTTCTTTTCCTGCCTCTCAGGGTGATATGTGAGGACTATCCAATGCCACCTTTCTCCTACAGTTGTAAACAGGTTGGTTAGTGAATTGCAAATACCAAGTGCAGCTTATAGGGCCAGGGAGGAATTGAGCAATGAATTCCTTCTTCCCTGTGTACCCTCGCTTGTCTAGGTTGTAAAATTAGCTTTTTCATAGTCCTCGCCAAAAATCAGAGAGAATCCAAAGTTAGATTGATTATCAAATCCCTCACCTCACACTTCAGGGTTATTTTCAAGCACTGGCAATGCGTATCTAAAGGCGGCTCGGATAAAGAAGCTGAGAGAGTCAACACCAGCATAGTTATCAGTGGTCAGTGGCACTGTTTTGACTTTCAGTTTTTCGTGAAAAGGGACACCCCCTTGTCCCTTGTTACCAGTTTTAAGGTTTGATCATCCAGATTATATTCCTTCAAGGAATTAGTCAACTTTTCTTCGTGATTAATACCTTCCTTAAGAATTTGATAACAGTCCAAATTAATGCCCAGATGTCTCTTTTTTCTTTCATTTTTCTTTATTAAGAAATTTTCTACTCACTACACATACTATTTACAGATCCCCCTCCTCCCTCCTCCCATCCCCCAGCCCTCTTTCCCAAGCCACCCCACATCCCCACATCCCCCAAATCGAGGTCTCCCATGGGGAGTCAGCAGAGCCCAGCACACTGAGCCTAGGCAGATCCAAGCCCCTTCCCACTGCACCAAGGCTGTGCAAGGTGTCACACCACAGGCACCGGGTTCCAGAAGCCTGCCCATAGACCAGGGACAGATCCCGATCCCCCTGCCTGGGTGCCCCCCAAACAGTTCGAGCCAAACCAACCGCCTTCCGTATCCAGAGATACCCAGATGTCTTAGTTAAGATTTTTATTGCTGTGAAGAGACACCATGACCATGGCAACTCTTTAAAGGAAAACGGTTAATTGGGTCTGGTTTACAGTTGCATAGGTTTAGTCTATTATCTTCATGGTGGCACGCAGGTAGACATGGTGCTGGAAAAGGAGCTGAGAGTTCTACCTCTTGATCCACAGGTAGCAGAAGTGACTATGACCCACATTGGGTATAGCTTGAGCATATAAGACCTCAAAGCCCACCTCCACAGTGACACACCTCCTCCAACAAGGCCACACTTCTCCAACAAGGCCACACCTACTCCAACAAGGCCACACCTCCTAATAGTGCCACTCACTATGGACCAAGCATTCAAACACATGAGTCTATTGGGGCCATTCCTATTCAAACTATCACAGCAAGTGACTGAAAATTAAATGAAGATCTTTCCCTCTGATTTATAATGCCTTTTCAGTATTCTTTTGGACTCTGTATCATACATCTTCATCTAGATTTCCTCATCCTGGGTACCAGGAATTATAAACATGAAATCTAATAGTCATGATTTTGATACTTGTGTTCCTCCTTTCTTTAAAAATTACTGACAAGCTTGACATGAAGCAAAGCCTTCCCTGGTTTCTACACCACTATTCCCACTCACCCCGTCCTGTGAGCATCCCCACTCTCATATCTTGTAGCCCACCTCAGGTCCTTGTTCGGGTGGGCACCACTTGTTTATCACTCCAGTTGGTGGTGGGACCCAAGAGAGTGGAGTGGATAGAGATGAGGTGGACTAAAGTCTCACGCAATAACCAACTTTATTCAGAGCATCAGACAATTTGTTCTATGAGAGTTAAGAGGAGTCACATGAGTAAAGTGTCCAGTCACAAGGGCGAGCCACATGTGGCAGGCAAACCACACGTGGCAAAAAAAAAAAAAAAAAAAAAAAAAAAAAAAAAAGTGTTTTTCCATAGAGACATAATCAACAACAGCCAGTTGTAATGAATAATCTGAGGTAAACTTACTCCTATCTGCTGCACTTGGGAAGGGCCACAAAAGCATAATCCAAGAACAATTCCAGGTTTTTGAAGAAACTGAAGTCACAAAACTCTTGTCTTGTTTTCTTAGAGTTTTCTCATAAGCACTCCGAATTCCCTTCTTGGACCGTGTTCCAACGTCACATAATTTTTAAATAATTTTCCTTGCTTCTGAAAACATTTTCCCATCAGGTGGGTCATGTATTATCCTCTTGAATTTATGAGATTTCCAGAAAGGGATGAAATGAATGCCACTCAGTGTCTCACTGAGCACAGTTCCCTGACTCGGTCACTCTTCTCCTGTGTTTCCACACGGACACCCGAGAGAGCAGGAGCCTACTGCAGTGTGAGTGTTCTGTGTCCATCTTCTGTCACTACTGCACAAGGCACCCCAGGGTTTCAAGAGTGTGAAGACTTTAAGAAAATTAAAGATGCTAGAAGATGGAAAGATCTCCCCCCGCTTGAGAATTAGCAGAGTTAATGTGTGAAAATGACCATACTATTGAAAGTAATGCACAAATTCCACACACGCCCCATAAAAATGACATAATTACAGAACTTAGAAAAATGACAATTCATATGAGGTGGAAAAGACAGCAGGTGGCCAAGGCCATCCTAAGAAAAACAGCAATGCTGGCACAGCACAATACCCAACCTCTGGCCACACTATAGAGCCGTATCACTGTATTGTGGTACCAGCACAAAAACAGACACATAAATTGATGTCACAGAATCGAGTGCCCATAGATAAACCCACACCTAATAGCTTCCTGATCTTTGACAAGGTGTCAAAAAATACATTGAGGAAGAACAGCCTTTTCACCACCCAGTACCAGGAGAACTGATACCCAGATGCATTACAGAGTGAGACTAGATCCGTAGCTCTCATTCTGCACACAAGTCAACTCAAAATGGATCAGCAAGCAGAAATGATCAAATGGATCAAAAACCTTCATGTAAGAGCAAAAACTCTGAAAATGCTAGTGGAAAACATAAGCCAAATTTTTCAAGACACAGGAATAGCCGAGGACTTTCTGTAGGGCTCCCAGCAGGTCTTGTAGGTAATTCAAGAGTCTGT